TAGGGAAAGGAAGAAGTAGATAACGAACGTTTAGGAGCCAGTTAGGCACAAATTAATTCAAGTACTTACCCGCCCAGTCTTCTCCCCTCTTCTCCCTTGTCAGCGCCACTAACTGCGAATTAAGCAAATTGCCGGGGTAACGTTCTCAGTTTGAAAAGCTGCTCGAAGTTGTGACTTTGTCAGATAGTGACAGCCGACCAGCCATAGCAATAAACCTCTCTTAGCTGCCTCTTTTATTCACGAAAGTAGTGCCAGTGATCCATGTTGCACGTAAAGACTGGAAACTGCTCCCCAAAGTCTGCGCCAATGCATGCGGTAAATGCTGTAAGCAGTCGAAAAGGGTTCAAGGATAGTTCTCAAAATCACGCTACGGACTGTTCAAGTCTCCCAACGACGCCGGCAAAAGCGCCACTGGCGTAACCCCAGCAACGGATAACTATAAATCTGTGATCTTCCGTTGCTTGCTCAGCCGCAGCAAATGACTGGGCACCAGCGATCGTTCGGTCTCATTGAATAGCCGGGCAGTCTCGATCTCTCTGTGGCAACTTTTCGACAGTCGTTCTGTGAGCAGTTAAGACTATTACAGGTTCTTTGATGGTCAACAGTGTGAAACGACAGAGGTAGAAAATAATGAAGAAAACTTTCGATCTGCTCAGTTTGGCAACCGAGGCCTACGAGACACCAAAGAAGGTGTATTTATGTGCATAATGCTCGTTGATCCACCACATTTATAAAACTGTAAAAGAAGATTTCAAACGAGTGGAAATCCATAGAATAACATGTACGAGAATTGTAATTTATAGTGACTTAGAGTTTCCAAAGGTCCATATCTAATTAGGAATACTTCTCACCTGCAAGACCAATAAAGTGACTGTACCAGGCTTGTTGCCACTTATGTCTATTAACTTACAGGGGATTTATGTCAGCAAGGCAACAGTGTAGGGAACCGTTCACAAGCAATAAAATTCAATGTCGTCTAGACTGAGTTGCAATTATCAGAGTAAGTTTTGAGGGACCAGTTTGAAGGGAGCTGATGATTATTTAACGACAAGGAGAGGAAGAGCCATCTGGAGAACTTTTTTTTACCATTATGAAGTTTTTTCGTGTGAAGTCTTGTAAGAGGACCGAAAAAATCGTTGGTCTATGCTGCCATTCTTTTTACATTGGTAATTTTTGCTGACAAATTATTGAATTCAATAGATTTAAATATACGAAAGATACACCGGGGTAGATTCAGTATCTGGAACATTTAAAAACCACCAAATCATGTAGTATGTTTATTGTTCGGCTGGCAAGACTGGAAACAAAATATTGGTCAATAAAACATTAGCATAAAAGCTTAA